AAATAACAAAAAAAACATGACAGCGAGCCAAATCAGCCGCCAGGCCACCGGGAATTCTCCCGGTGCTCCCGATGGCAAAAAAAGGGGCTAAAATTTTACCTTTCGGGGTACAACAGCTTGACACCGTAGCAGTACACCGTACATATTAGTACCTTACGAGTAGTAATTCATACCCTTTAAGATACTAATTTGTAGGCCTACCTATTAGGGGTAAAAAAGGAACAAATATGCCCTTTTAAGGGTCCTGTTCCGGTGACATGCTGTTGTACCCCAAAAGGTGCAATTTTGGCCCCTTATTTCCTGTATATATAGCCTATACATCCACAACAATTTCTGAAACCAGACAACCCTATTATGTGTATGGCCGTCACATAAAAAAAGGTCTAAATCCTTAGTCTGGGGCCGTGGAAAAAATCCATGTGAATATCTGTCTCTGCTAAATTTATTAATGTAACTTTACAATCGATATTGATGTCCTTTAGCACAGTATTCTGAATGATGATAATAATGGGGTGCTACTGATAGCCTAACAGATACTAGTAGTTTAATACTCAACTACGTTAATAAAGACAAAACTATCTAGCGTATTTACAGATGAAACTGACCTGCACTTGAAGCCCTCAACAGGTCAGTGATGTTGCTACATTTCACTGCTTCTACTGGCCGCTTCCTCTCCTTCATCGAGTCCCACGCATCGGTTCTGTTCGGAACCGTTTGACGGAAGCGCGGAACACACGTGAGCTGATTCGTGCAGCGCTGACAGTCAAGACTAACCGATTTATGATTTATTATCGATTTATTATCTAATGAAAAAATCAGAAATGATCACTTTGGTACATTGCGGGAATTCTCCCGGTGCTCCCGATGGCCAGTCCGGGCCTGGACACACATATTCAATTATGGCACACTCCAACATTGTAGTGCACAAGTCTGGCCTGATTTCTCTCTCTCTCTCTCTCTCTCTCTCTCTCTCTGTCAGGGCGTGCGTGAAAGACAGACAGAGAGAGAGAGCAGGTCTTTCCTGAGCTGTAAGGCCTGAGTCAAGACTAACCGATTTATGATTTATTATCGATTTATTATCTAATGAAAAAATCAGAAATGATCACAATGGTACATTGAGAAGGCATAAATATAAAATATTAATAATAATAATAGCCTAACTGAAAAAAATAACAAAAAAAACATGACAGCGAGCCAAATCAGCCGCCAGGCCACCGGGAATTCTCCCGGTGCTCCCGATGGCCAGTCCGGGCCTGGACACACATATTCAATTATGGCACACTCCAACATTGTAGTGCACAAGTCTGGCCTGATTTCTCTCTCTCTCTCTCTCTCTCTCTCTCTCTCTGTCAGGGCGTGCGTGAAAGACAGACAGAGAGAGAGAGCAGGTCTTTCCTGAGCTGTAAGGCCTGGGAGAAATGGAACTTAAATGCCTCTCACTGGCTCTCAAACTCCAGTTGCCTTTATTGATGCACTGGCCTACTGCCAACCAGAGGCCTTTTCCACTTCAAAGGGTCCGCGTTCACACACACACACACACACACACACACACGTCTTCAACTGTGAGCATGAAATGCACTCCAACCTCTATCTGTACTTCAGGCCTATATCCGTGATGTCCACCTCCATGTGTAATCTTAGATATAAAACAGGCCACTCAAAGTATGATTCAATGTGCAATTCAAACCTCTATCTGTCATCTGAAAGTCTATAAAACCCCATCTACTGTATACTGCGAGTGAGTGGCACGGCAAAACTAAAACACTCCCATTATAATCGAAGCGGTTTCGAAGCACAAAGTGATTCGAGTTTGTTTTGACGCTTGCGGGGATTTGAATTTGATTTAAAGCTTGCAGTCATTCAAAATCCATAAATTCATAGATAGCATTCTTTAGAATTCACTTTGAAAATCTGAATGGATTTGAATAGGATTCAAATTGGCATTGGTTTAAATTCTACAAGGAGTTTAAAGTGATTCAAATTAGTTTTGAAGTTTGCAGTTACTAAAAGTAAATTACAACGTTGGAGCTTTCTGTGGTTCAAATTTGCAGTGTGAAGCATGAATTGATTTTGAGTCGAAGCTTGCAGTGATTCAAATTCAATTCATCGTTGTGGTTGTTCACATTCAATTTGAAGATTATATTGATTGAAATTTGATTCAAAGCTCTTAGTGATTCAAATTAAGTTTGAAGCATGCTTATTTGCACTTATGTTTAAAAAGAATAAAAGTGTTCAATGGTTCAAATTATGAAAAAAAAATGGATTGCATTCTAAATAGAAAAAAATCAGCATGTATGTTTTATGTGACTTACAATTCAGGTACAAATAATTTATTCATATTGCAGTACTTTCCTAGAAAAACAATTAACCACGTCAAACATGTTAAATGACAAATGAATGAAAAATAAAGATGCATTCAATAACATGCATTAATTAATACATTTGTTTCTCAATTTTTTTTTTGTCTAAATGCAATGACAAAGTGCTACTGTAAATGCATAAAAGCAGCATGTATGTTTTCTGTGACTTAATTCACAAATCATTTATGCATATTAAAATACTTCCCTAGAAAAAAAAATGCTTAATGTAAAATTTAGTTTGAATGACATAAATTAATGCAAAATAACTAAGGATGCATGCAATGCAATGAACAATTGTTACCATAAATGTACTTCTCAATTAATTATGTGCAATGTATAAATTAATTAACAAATCTGCATATTATTTATTTATTTGTTTGTATCTAAATGCATAAAAATGTGCTACTGTAAATGCACAAAAAAACCTCAGGCACTTTTTCTTTAGCTAAATAAAAACCTTTATAATTTATGACATAAATATTAAGCGACAACTTATCAAGATCAGTAGAAATGCTGCTACATTTCAGTCCCTTTCAGGCTCTACAGGTCTGAGATAGAAATTCTGCGCTGTGTGGATCCCAGAATTCACAAATGTCAATACGACCCACATGTCTACACCTCAGCCTTTGCATTTCAATGCAGTTTCCTTTTCATTATTTATGACTATTTTACCCACGACAGGAAAAAAAAAGCATGGGCCTACACCTCCACACCTATCCCCATAGTAACCAACCTCACAAGTCCTGTATATGCACAGAGAGCCCCTCACAGAGCACATACCATATACAAAAGTATGTGTGTGTGCACGTTTGGACATACATGTATGCACAATCGTAATGGGCTTCCTGGTGTCCTGGGGAGGAAGTGTGAGAGGTGAGCGTCTCTCCATGCCTCCGAGAATGGAGTGAGAAACCAGACTACCGCTGAGTGTGAACTAGCTGGGACAAGATGCTGTCATATGATGGGAGAATGACAGTCTGCATATGAGGACATTATATATAAATATAGAAAAGGGTTTCAGTTTTCTATTTTGCATCTTTCTAACACTTGCATTTCATTGTAAACCATATTATCAGCAGAACAGTTTGATTGCAAAGTTTAATTTTTACATTAATTTGTGGTCAGCAGCACTGGAGCTACATGAACAAATGTTCTCCAGCTTGATTTGAGAATGATTCAAAGAGCATCTTGTACTTCAATAGAAGGAAGAATATCCGATTGTCTGCACAAAGGAGTTCATGGTCACAAATGTGATTTATATTTTGAGTTACAGTGATTTGAATTAATTTTTTGCACTGATTCATGGTCAATTAGAAGGTTGAAGCGATTCAGATTTATTCACGAACAAAGTGATTCAAACTTGGTTTGCCTCTTGCACTGATTTGAATTCGATTCAAAGCTTTCAGTGTTTCTGATTAGATTTGGAGCTTCACATGATCACAAATCTTTTAGAAATTAAAGAGTTTTGAATGATTTGAATTCATTTTGACGTTGAAACGATTCTGGTCTATTTTGGATCTTGCAGTGATTCAAATTTGATTCAAGATTGCAGTGATTCAAATACAGGTTATCACTTGCATTACATTTACATTTAGTCATTTAGCAGACGCTTTATCCAAAGCGACTTACAAATGAGGACAATAAAAGCAGTCAAAACTAACAAAAGAGCAACAATATATGTGCAAATGACAAGTCTCGGTTAGCCTAACGCAGTACACGTAGCAAGGTGTGTGTATGTATATATATATATATATATATATATATGGCAGGAGAAATGGCTTGAAGGAGATGAGATGGAATAGGATCAAGCGGACAAGTAGTAGGACGATTGGAAAGGATGAGTTTAGAGACTTCTGCCTCAGAGAGAATTAGAATTTAGCATTTGATTAGAATTAAGTTCAAAGCTTGCAATGATTCAGATCCGATTTTGAGCATCACATGGTCACAAATGTGCTTTAAATTAAGTAAGGATTTTAGAGTGATTACAATTTTTGTGAAGTTTGCAGTGATTCAAAAGCAACAAGAAAGGTTGGAGTGATTCGTTTTGGAACTTTCAGTGATTCAAATTCAGTTTGTCACTTGCATTGATTCGAACTTGAGTGAAGCTTGCAGTGATTCAAATTCGATTTTGAGCTTCACATCATCACAAATGCGCTTTAAATTGAATATGGAGTTTGGGGGATTCAAATTCATTTTGAGGTTTGCAGATGCTTACAACTGATTCAAATTTGAATTTGTCCATACAAAGGATTTCACATGGTCACAAATGTGCATATTTGACCTTAGAAATAGCAGAACCTTCAAGGGATAATTCTGTCTTCATTTACGCACCCTCATGTCGTTCCAAACCTGCATGAATTATATTCTTCTGTGGAACAGAAAGGAAACATTTTGAAGAACGTTTGAATTGTTTGTGTCCATACAAAACAACACTGGAACGCAGACTTTCGCTGAATGGACAGGGGGAAAAGCATTTTTCACAATATTTTCTTTTGTTTTTCACAGAAAAAAGTAATGCAAACAAGTTTGAAATGACATGAGGGTGAGTAAATTATGACTAATGATTAATTATAATGATAAATTAAAGACTTATTAATTTTGCATCATAACATTTCTTTGTTTTACATTGCTCTTTTCCAGGTTTTGAATCCTAGATTTTCTCTAGGCCTTCCATGATGGTAATGCCCAATCCTATCCTAATACTATGGTTCCATCAATCTGTGAGTAGTTCAGAATCATGTGTGTTCCGTTTGTACCTGCGCCTGTTCAATAGTCCTGCTTTGGCCTATCGTCCCCTTTACCTTATGTCACTGCCGTTGGACAATAGCCCTTACTGAAGGTCCCCACCGCTGCAGCTTACACTTAATGAACAACAACCTATCCCCCCCACCCCACACACACCACCACCATCATCTATCTATCTACCCCCCAACACCCCCCTCCCATCCGCCCCTGCCCACAACCACTGTTGTCCACTGTTCACCTCATCCATAGTAGACTGTATTGATTTTCAGTGGGGAAAATAAAAAAGGCCATGAATTTTAATGCTTTCTCTCTCTCTCTTATACCCCCCATCCACCTTTTTTTCCACCCCTTCTTCTCCTGACCCATCCCTCTGCTGTGTTCTTTCCTGGGGGAAGGATAAAAGAGAGGGGGATGGGACAGTCAGGGAGGGGAGAGGTGGAGGGGTTGATGGTGTGGCGTTGGGTCATTTCTCATTTCCGAACCCTGGACGGTCACCTCCCCCCTTCCTGTTAACTAGCCTTCTCATTGCGGGAACGCTACAGATGGAAACACGCAACGACCTCTCTGGACGCTCTTCATCAATACGATGTCTGTGACTCTACGCAACCTTGTTATTTTAGTTAAATAAATGAATAATCTGATCACCTGACGCCATATTTATTATTGAATGATACAAATGCATGTTAATTAAGAGTTTCTACAGCTTCAAAAAAAAAATGGGAATAATAAAAAATGATCATTTCATATGAATTTTTTCAAGTTCAAAAGTTTTTTTTTTTTTGAGAAATAATACTTTTTTGGCAAAGATACATTGCATTGTTATAAAGTGACAGTAAAGACAATTGTAATGACAAAAGATTTGTATTTCAAATAAATACCATGCTTTTGAACTTTTTTCAAAGAAGTTTGCCAAAGAATCCATAATTCATAAAAATCAGATTTCCACAAAAATATTAAGCACAAAAATAATATGCAGCATGTCTGTTTTTAATATTTATAAGAAGAAATGTTTTTGACCGCCAAATCAGCATATTAGAATGATTTCTGAAGGATCATGTGACACTGAAGACTGGAGTAATGATGCTGAAAACTCAGCTTTACATAACAGAAATAAATTACATTTTAAATATATTCAATTAGAAGACAGTTATTTTACATTTTAATACCGTTTCATAATATTACTGTATTTTTGGTCAAATAAATGCAGCCTTCGTGATCATAAGAGACTAAAAAACAAATTTGTAGCTAATAAAATAAAAAAATAATAATACATAAATAATAAAAAGTTATAGGTAGCTAATAATTCAATACAATATGTTAGTAAACAGGCTGTATACACAATATACACTATGCTATATGACAACTTGACAACTCAATAGCATTACTTGTATTCATGTGACACTTTTCAAACAATAATTAGACTGGAAATGCTCTAGTATTCAGCATTGCTTAAACACGGACTCCCTGCTAATGACCATATGGTCATCACCACGTTTGGTGCTGAAATAACATTAAAGCACAACGAAGATAGATAGAACAATCGCCCAGCACTCCGTCAGAGTGACAAATGTTTTAATAATTCCAGCAGTGAAGAATGACACACACAATATACCATTTCTATAGTCGCATAGCCATACAGTGAGTGACCACATACTCCAGTTTACCAGCATTTACACCTAATTGTCATCAGTGTAATTTCTGACAGATAAATAAAGGAGTGAGGAAAAATCTTCAAGGTATACATGCGGTGAGGCTCATAATTCTGACAAGCACATATTTTTGTGTTATTTTCTGTATTTGGTTTCTCACCGCCTTCTAATATAAAAGCCGAGAGGATGGATGAGAAATGGACAAAATTGAGGGAGTAAAAAGGGGCTTTTAGGGCCGAAAGCAGTTGGTGTGTGTGTATGTGAGCTTGCATCTGTGTGTGTGTGTTAAAAGAGGGGTCTTAAAAACTGCATCTACAGATTGTTTGTACACAGTAATGTTTCATTTCCTTTTACAGCTACACAATGAACTATTATCATCATCATCCATGGTCTGTTGTCGTCAAGCAAATTTGAACAATGTTCAGTAAATATTTTTAAATGAAGGTTAACTGAGTAGCCTATACCAAAAATTCTGAAGACTGTGCACATTTCTGTGATTTACACTGATGTAGCAACACTAAAGAAAATATATAATTTCATTGAGATTTCTGTCTTTTCTACAGCTCAGTGACTTCTGATACCACATTAAGAACTCATGCATGTGAAATACGACAAATTCTGTCTTATTCGTTTTGTCCCGATCTCAATCTCATATTCTGATAATCATTCAATTACACCATCCAAAGAAAAGACATTACAACTACATTCGCACAAAATCGTTCAGTGCAAAAAAAATAGTTCACGTTAAAATATTTTTTGATTCATATTCACCCTTTACATGCGTCTCTTTGTGATTCAACGATTCATGCGTCGCTCACCTCCACCTCTCGTACCGTACTGAACCACACAGAGGGAAAACATGTGAATGCATGTCTGCTGAGAAGCTAATAATGACACAACGGTGTGTTTCTTTCGTATGCTTTCACAGTCTGTGCTTCTGTGACATGCGAAAGGTCATTTGCTCTGTACTGTGGTATTTACTAACAGCCAAGTGTTTTGTGGTTCATTCAGGTTTGCTGTTATTCTTGCGCGTTTTGATTAATCTTGCGAGAGCTGCTGGACTCATAATGAGGATTTGAAATTGAGGTCAAACTCTTTTTGAAACGCATCAATACGTATGTCAAGAAATTCTATCGGAACGACACACAAACATTTATAATGGATACATTCAAAAACGCATAAAACATAATGCATACCACAAGAATCATGCATTTCTCATCACTAAGAACTTTCATCAACTCTGGTTAAATTAAGCAACAGTTCATTATATTCAAACCAACCACAGTTGATTTACTTGGATATTAGAGATAAATTTGAAAGGCAGTCTCAAAGATCTATTGCAAATTACATTATACAATGTGCAATATCTCCACATTTTGGAGGCACTTTTGGTGCATATCATAATGTTGGTTTAGTCACGTTTGCTGTTGTTATTGTGTGTTTTGATTAATCTTGCAAGTGCTGCTGGACTCATAACGAACAACTGAAATTGTAGTCAAACACTTCCAAAATGCATAGAAAAATTGTATCGGAACATCACACGCTTATAATGGATATGTCATCCAAAAATGCATAAAACATTACATGCACCGCAAGAACTGAGCATTTGTTCATCATTGTGAACTTTCATCAACTCTGGTTAAAGTAGGCAAACAAGTCATTATATTCAAACCATCAACAGTTGATTTTCTTGGATTTTGGAGGTAAATTTGGAGTCAATCTTAAAGATCAATTGCAACTAACATACAATGTCCAATATCTTCAAATTTTCGAGTCACTTTTGGTGTATGTCATAATACTGGCTCATTTAGATTTGCTGTTGTAATAGTGTGTTTTGATTAATATTGTGAGTACTACTGGTTTCATAATGAACATTCAAAGTTGTGGTCAAACTAGAGATGCTCCGAATGTTCAGCAACCAAAATTATTCGGCCAAACACCGAAAGAGCTTTTGTTGCTATTTTCGGCCGAATAAGCGAAAAGACCGAATAAATTGTACCGAACAATGACATGACACGATCAAATAGAGGCACGCACTAATGCAACAAACATGTCGGCAGTGTGAAAGCATTTAAAAGTGTTCGCGAAAGACGCAAAAATCATTACAATCACCGGCAGCGAGAGACTGTTTAGTACTGCATCGCATGTCTTCGATGAGAAGTGGAAGGGGTGGTTGTTGCTGGTTACTATATGATGACTGAAATCGCGAAATGCCCTTAAACAATTAAATAAACTGCAGAACGTTGCGTTTTCTAATACACGGACGAATTGCATGTGTTCATACAGCGCTGCGCGGCGCCAGTGTTCAAAGTCAAAAGTGCGAGGAAAATCTGCGCTGAAATAGTGTTATTCGTCAGTTGCTCAGTAGCATTTTTATGAATTTTTACAAGGCATGTGACAATGCGATACGTGCAACAAACGTCTTCCCATATTCGTAATGAGAATTATTTATAAATCTACTGTTGTCAATAAAAAGCACTGAGGTCTTCCTGCGGGTTTCTGCCAAAATAAAAGTTGAGAAAAAGCAAGAACTCCAACATTGTAATTTTACTGTTGTTCTGTAAAATAAAATAAAAAAGACAATAATAAGGATAATAATAATTACAACAGCTCTATTAATACATTTATTATAGCATTCACACATAGTGTTCAGACTGGGATCTGTAATATTTTCTAATGTTTTAAAAGAAGTCTCTTCTGCTCAGCAAGGCTGCATTTATTTGTACAGTAAAAAAATGCATGCCTGATTCAAGAAAAAATATTATTTTACTAACTTATTAATTTTAAATTAAATTGTGTTTTATTGGTATAATGTCTGCTAGAATGTTAAAAAATGTTCAGCTTTAAGTAAATATATTTAAAGCACATTTTGGCTATTTAATTTATGCAATGGGGAAAAAAATTGGCAAAATGGGGAAAAAAATGCGAAAAACCGTGTTCGGTATTCGGCCTTCAGCCCAGTGTTTCATTTTGTTCGGCTTCGGCCAAGAATTTTCATTTCGGTGCATCCCTAGGTCAAACACTTTCAAAACACATCAATGCATTTGTCAAGAAAATCTACAGTAGCTTCACACAAACATTTATAATGGATACGTCATCAAAAACGCACAAAACATCACACATACCACAAGAATTATGCCTTTGTTCATCATTATGAATTTTCATCAGCTATAGTTAAAATAAACACACATCGTCATATTCAAACCAACCACTGATTTACTTGGATTTTGGATATAAATTTGGAAGCAATCTCAAAGATCTAAGGCAAATAACATTAACCATTTTGGGTTCCTCAAAGAACCTTTCAATGAATAGTTCTTAAAAGAACTATTTTTTTTTCTTAGTTTGAGGAATATTTTAATAATCTAAAGAACCTTTTTCCACTATAAAGAACCTTTTATGGAATGGAAAGATTCCACATTCTTAAAAATAAAGATTCTTTATTGGGATTGATGGTTCCATAAAGAACATTTAACATGGAACCTTTTCATTCCACAAGAAGTTCTTTAAAGTGGATTCTTTAGATTTTTAAAATGTTCTTCACACTAAAAAAAGGGGTTCTTTTAAGAACTGTTCACTAAACGTTCTTTGAGGAGCCAGAAATGGTTTTTAAATGGCACTGTTGCAAAAAACCCTTTTTGGAACCTTTACAGTTTCTTCATGGAACCATAGATGCCAATAAAGAGTGTATACAATGTGCAAAGTCTCCAAATTTTGGAGCTACTTTTGATGCACATCATACTGTTGTTTGCAGTCCAAGCACATGGTGCATTAAGACACAAGGCAGAGGTTCCCACCTCAATGCAAGCAGCCCGCGAGGCCTTGAACTTGAGACAGCGGGCGAGTCAATAAGAAAACGGTGCTTTTAGAAAGACGGGACAAGATGAAAAAGAGGAAAGGGGGGGATGATGAGTGGCTGCATGTGAATGAAAGGGGGCACGAGAGAGGAGTGGAGGAGGGGTAGGGCTGAGGCAAGGGTCAAGGGTCAACTTGTC